AAATGCATCTGACCATCAGAAGATCAGATCATTGTACATAGAGAATGTTGTCCTTTTTCCAAGCACTTTTTTGCTATGCTTGCTCTTTGTAAATTGTCTCTGTGGTTTGTTTTTATATTGGCAACAGTCCCTTTTACTGGGTTGCTACAGCATTCTTTCAATGCCTTGTTAATACCATGAGCCATATAGCATATATACTAAGGAAATGTTTAGTCCTAATGCCTAGGTTTAGAAGGTGTAAGCCTTGAGACCATTTAGGTCTACCATAAACTGGAGAGTCTTGGTGACATTAGTAAAACTGCTTTTCCTTTGTATGTATCCTGAAAATATCCAGCTTCTGGCATACAAGAGTTAAAAGAAATTCCTAACACTTGACTTATTAAATAATCTGTTTGAAAAGACTTATCCAAGGAAGACATCCGTGTTACCAAATTGCTGTGCATTATTTCCCATGTTTATTGATGTGGGTGGAATACTATCCTGAGCTTGTGGACAGTGCTTGATTTGCTGTGTGCCATCCCATGGGAGAAATACAGAGAATCTCCCTGTAAGCAATTACAAAGCTGACAAAAGTATATGATTCAGGTCAGCATGGGTTCTATATCATGGAGCTTCTGTATTTATAAGTAGTACCATCATGCTCTCTATGAATAGGAGATTATTATGGAGCTAATAATACACCAAGAAATGGAGAATCACAAGCAGTATGTGGACTGTACAATGAACCTGCCATGTGTCTTTATTCTAAACAGATTTGAAAAGGAAACCTGTATGCAGCTATTCAAAATGAGCTTTCAACCTGGAATCTCTACACTTCTTTCATGGTTCTGAAGCATATAGGTGAAAAACAAATAGTTCTCAGAAAAGAGGATTTCTTCATTTAGCCATGCTGTCGTCAGGTCTGTTTTTACAGATTTAGGCTGTAAAATTAGACTGTCAGCCATTTTCTAATTAAGTAGGGAGCCTCCAAGAGAACCAGGAGTATTTAAATAGATGGGACGTACATTTGCTACATCAACTTAATGTTTAGTGACACTGCTTTGTGTTGCTGAAGGTTCAATGTTTCCAAATGGGGTATGAAAATAGCCATCAGTCAGTTCTGAAATAAATAATAACACTTCACAAATGTTAAGAAATGTTAACACATGTGCCCCAGCTAAAATTCAATTAAGGTATTGACATCAGAGTTGGACGCGATGCTTGTTCCTATTCCTGCTTGAGTTAGTGAGAGATTTGATATTTATTTCACAGATAGCAAAGGCTAAATCTGTCATTTTTTTCCCTTCAGGGAAAATGCCAGGTTTCTAATCAAGCAAATTATAGGGATGACATTAAATGTTTCAACTGCCTTGGCCCTCTGTACACATGAAATTTCACCCCTTCTTTAACCAGGTTCTATTTTTATACTGGTGTGAATCCAATTTGTTGCAAGCCAGCTATAAACTGATTTGGATGTACACTTGGGGTTTTATCCAGATTGAAACTAATGAGTTAAGTTCTGCTTCTGTTTTTGAACAATAAGATCTTTTGTGATGGAGACCTGTTCTTGTATTTGTGGTTAATATAATTCAAACAGCACATTTATGAGGCAATAAAAATGTTTCTGCTCCTATCTGAGGAAAGAACCAAAGACATTTTTTTAACTTAAATTCTGTTGGAATTTCCCTTTTAAAAATTTCCCAAGATATAAAGAGCAAGTATGTGGCATATTTAAAATACCAAAAAAGGTCAGTAAAACAACTGGAATTAAGATGGATCACCTAATGTAAGGGCATTTTTAATCTAGTTGTTTTGTTTGGTTTTTTTCTGGTGTTCTAAGTGGTGGAAATGCAGTCATTCTGCTTTCCATTCTTTTTCCTCTCATTTATTCATACAACATAGTATGACAAAGACCCTTATTAATGTTCTTTTTTAGTACTCTAAACTGGCACATTCTAGAATTCTAGAATCTATGCCCTCTGCTCTATGTTCTGGGTGACCCTGCCAGAGTAGCATCATGTTCTTCCCATGCAGTCCAGCTTTACCCCTGCTTCCTCCCGTGCATTGCCCTCTTACTGCTGCCCAGCACCTCACCGGGAAGATATTTTCCCAAAGGCCTGGAACAAACGTGTTTGTCTTTGTGTACCAGCACAGGATGCCTCACCGGGTTTGAAAACCACAGGTGGCTGGTAGAAACAGCCCTTCTGTCCTGTGTAGGTCCTGGGCACCACCTTTCCAGGAACAGAGGTTTTGGCTTGTTTAAGTCTGGGGTTTTGTTTTTTGTAATTCCAATATTCAGTATTTCAAATACAGGAAACAGGAAATGTGGATGTATACTGAGCAGTGTAATTCTTTCTGGATGTGAAGGCAACTAAAATTTTGTACTACTTAAGCTCTCAGCAGG